AAATTCAACAACAAAAGTCTACACTGAACTTGCAATCTAAAAAATTCAACAACATAAGAGCTTGCAATTGAAACACAACAATAAAAGTATGAATTGAACTTGCAATCTGGAAACCTCAATAACACAAGAGCTTGCAAGTGAAACACAACAATATAAGTCTGAACTGAACTTGCAAGTGAAACACAACAATATAAGTCTGAACTGAATTTGCAATATGAAAAACTCAACAACACAAGTCTAAACTGAACTTGCAAGTGAAACTCAACAACACAAGCCTGAACTGAACTTACAATCTGAAAAACTTTACAACAAAAGAGCTTGCAAGTGAAACTCAACAAGAAAAATCTGAACAGAACTTGAAATTGAAAGATCGTTCTTATATATATAGAGAGATAGCTATTTGCTCTAAACCTTAAAAATCATAATAAAAATCATCTTTGCCAAAGAGCTATATAGATCTCATAATAATGGTAAGACAAAAAGTTCAACTTGTGTCTCTGCTCTTACACATAATTGTAAAACAACACATGTTTTTAAGTTGTAAAACAACACATGTTTTTAAATTGTAAAACATAACAACAACAAAAACAAAGTCGTAAAATAGACAAAATAACTCATAGACTAAAGAAAAATCACAACCTCGACTTTGGCAAAACTTTTTTTTTAAGTTTTGGTAAAAAATTTGTTTGCATTAAATTTAAACCTTTGCAAAACATATAAAGAGCCTTGAGTTAAATAAAAAGCTTATGGTTTAGGAGTTTATTTAAGTATACCAAAAAATTGAGGAATTGTTTAATCTTTAAATTATTGGTCTGGTTATTACTTGATGTAATAGTTGCTAGTTCTAAACTAAAATCAAATAAATTGCTCAATTTTAACAAAAAAAATGTTTACCAACAAAAAAACATACTTCTTAGTGTAGTTTACAAGGAGGAGAATAATAACAAACTCAATGTTGTGTTGTTTCAAACTTGTTGTTTTACTCAATTTAGATTGTTGTAATATGTAAACATAAATAAAGACAAAGCAACAACTC